TGCGATCTACGTGGTGCAATTAATTTCTGTTCGCAGTGAGTTCTCCACTCCACTGCTCGCGCAAACATCCCACCCACCCACCCGCAACTTGGTTTGCAAAATCTCTTAAGACCGTGACGGTGGGTACCACATGGCACTTGGCAACAACAGCGACGCCGACGACGACAGCGACAACGACGATGACGACGCCGCCGACAACGACTACGACGACACCGACGACGTCTCCAACGACTTCGACGACGCCGACAACGACGACGACGACGACGACGACGACGACGACGACGACGACACCGACGACGACGACGACGACGACGACGACGACACGACGACGTCTCCAACGACTTCGACGACGCCGACAACGACGACGACGACGACGACGACGACGACGACGACGACACGACGACGACGACGACGACGACGACCACGACGATAACGACGACACCGACGACGACGACGTCAACGACGCCGACGACGACGACGATGACGACGCCGACCACGACGATAACGACGACACGACGACGACGACGTCAACGACGCCGACGACGACGACGACGCCGACGACGACGACGGCGGCGACGACGACGACGCCGACGTCGACGACGACGAAGACGACAACGACGCCGACGCCGACGACGACGACGAAGACGATGACGACGTCGCCAACGAAGACAACGAGGAAGGAGGGCGGACGACGACGGCGACAACGACGACAACGACGAGGGAGGAGGGAGGACGGCGACGACGCGAACGACGAAGAAGGAAGGACGGCGACGCCGACGACGGCAACGACGAGGGAGGAGGGAACGACGACGACGACAACGACGACGACGACGACGACGGCGACGAAATGGGAGGGACGACGACGAGACGCCGACGACGGACGACGACGACGACGAGGGAGGAGGAGGAAGGACGACCACGGCGACAACGACGACGGAAACGACCACGACGCCAAAGAGGACGACGACGAACACGAGGAAAGACAGAGGACGACGCAGGCGACGACGACGACGACGACAACGACGCGGGAGGAGTGAGGACGGCGACGACGACTACGACGACGCAAGAGCGCGCGCGCACGCTTTTGTTGAAAATCCGTGTTGCGAAACCTTGTGTTTTTGTAAGTTTTTTGGGCACACGATTTTGAAATCCTTCCGAGACCGATGGGTTTTGAAGGTTTTCGGCATGCGCGCGCGACGACGCGCGCGTCTGCACTTCGTCCCATTCTTTTGCAGGGGATTCTCGCGACGGCACACGCGCAAGGGCGTTCGACAGATTTCGACATGAGCGCGCGCGAAACCCGTTTGGTAGCATTTTGTGAAAATCTTGAAAAACCGATGATTTTCTTGAGATTTCGCAAGAGTTTTCGCGGAAGTTGTTTTAGCAATTCTGTCTTGCGAAACCCTGTGTTTTTGTATGTTTTTTGGAAACTCGATTGCGAAATCCCTCCCGCACCGAAGGTTTCTGAAGGATTTCGGCATGCGCGCGCGACGACGCGCGCGTGTGCACTTCGTCTCATTTGTTGCAAGGGAATCGCGAAAACATGTTATGTTAAAACAAAAAATGTCACTGCATAGTGTTTTTTACTAGGGAACCTCAGAGGGGGGGGGGGGGAAGCCGGCCTAGCTGGGATGGTATGGTTTCATACCTAGGATGGACGAGTGTGCAGAATATGTATGAAATTGTACTATCCCAGGGGGAACCGATAAGTCCGGGGGGGGGGGGGGGAGAGTCCATTCTCTTTTGAAAAAGGAGAACACACGTGGTGCAATATACGAGGTGTAATACACCCTGCAGACTTTGAAAATGACAACTCTACTGCTCGGCCAATCGTCCCACCCACCAACCCGCAACTTGGTTTGCAAAACTCCTGCGCCGGCGATTGCGATGACCTACTAGCGCTGGCTGGCGCATCGCTGCGACCACACTACCGCGCGCAGAGGCGCCAGCTAGTCTGGCGCGACCGACGCGGCCGCGATGGCCCTGACCGGTGGGGGTTTCTCACCGCGTCTCTCAGGCCGCGCTGACGCGCAGGCCTTTCAGCGCGAGTCGGTGACTCGGGCGGGCGCGGTACCATGGCGACGTCAACAACGGCAGACACTATGATTAAAATAGCGACGCCGGTGACGACGACGACGACGACGACGACTTTGGCGAAGGCAAAACCACTGACGGTGCCGATGCGGATGACGCCGATGACGATGATGGTGTCCACGCGTCGGTTGCGAAGGTGTTGGGAGATTTCGACATACGCGCACAGCCGACGGGCGCGAGCGGCGCGCATGGTAATATTTGAACAGCACGTGCCCACTCACCCCAGCAAGCGCGCAAAGGCGTTCAAATGACTCCGACATGCGCGCACGAAGAACCCGCTTGGTCGCATGCGATCCAGATGTTGGAAGAAATTGTGGTATTCGCCAGAAACCGTAAGAGAGTGCGCACCTATACGTGTTTGAAATATTGAAATCGCTACGGAACTTAGCGTTGATGAAAGCCCCGACTTGCGCGCGCGACGACGCGCGCTTGAAGACCTTGTCACGCTTTGTGCTGCAAGGGGCGTTCGGAAATTAGTGGTTCAAGGTAGACGAGTTCGCACGCATAGTTTCAGTTGACGAGGATGAAGGGGGAGAAACTGGTTTGTTTGGCTGGGATGATACGAAGTCAAACTTAGAACGGACGATGGGGCAGAACCACATGTAAGTTGCAATGACGGAAAAACCCCAGGGGGGCAGATCCACACTTTCTTGTTTTTTAATGAAAAATACGCGGTGCTACAAATTTGAGCACTTAATACTTGTTCGCTGCGACTTGTCAACCCCACTGCTCGAACAACCATGCCCGCCCACCCACCCGCAACATGGTTTGCGAAACCCCTGCGGCGGCGATTGCGATGACGCTAGCTGGCGCATCGCTGCGGCCGCGCTAGCGCGCGCAGACTCGCGAGCAGAGCGGCCAGCTAGCCTGGCGCGACCGACGCGGCCGCGGTGGCGCTGATCGCTGGGGGCATCCCAGCGCGTCTCGCAGGACGCACTGGCGCGCGGGCACTTCAGTGCGAATCGGTGACTCAGGCGGGCGCGGAACCATAGCGACGTCAACAACGGCAGCCACGATGATGAAAATAGCGACGCTGGTGACGCCGATGACGATGACCAGGGCAACGCCAATGACGGCGCCGCTGCTGATCAGGCCGATGACGATGATGGTGCCCACGTGTCATTGATGAAGGTGTTTGAAGAATTTCTACACACGCGCGCGGCCGACGGGCGCGAGCGGCCCGCATGATAATAGTTAAACGGGATCGTGCCCCCCCGGCACGCGCGCAATGGCGTTCGAACGATTTCGACATGCGCGCGCGCGCAAGACGCCCGCTTGGTCGCATTTGGTAAGAAATCGCAAGTGCGCGCATGCTTTTTTATAAAAACATGGTGTGATTCCATATGTGTCTACATGTGAACGGGGCACTCGATGCTGAAACCCTTACGTAACCTAAAAGGATGAAGGGTTTCGGCACATTTTGAAGGGTGGAACCGACGTGGTGCAATCTGAGTGGTGCAGTATTTGTTGTGCTATCTATGTGGTACAATCTACGCGGTGCAATGTATGAGGTGCAATCTACGCTATGCAATCTACGCTGCGACGGGGCGGCGACGGCGACAACATAGCCGCCAGACCCGCCGTCAGGCCAAGACGACGGGCGGCAACGAGGCGGCGACGGGGCGGCGACGGCGACAACATAGCCGCCAGACCGACAATCGTTCCAAGACGATGGCCGGCGACGAGTAGGCGACAGGGCGGCGACGGCGACAGCATAGCCACCAGACCGACAACCAGGCCCAGTTCCTGAGAACAGAAGTAAGAAGCCAAGTCCAGCACTGTTTGGGAAATGAAGCCAATACAACTTACACGATTACACGACGAAACATAACATGCATCACAACTCCAACAGTGGCAACATTGAATAGACAAGTGGAATAGTACCGATAAACATCAACACCATCATCACCATCATCCCCATAATAACTACCACCGTTATCATCAGCAGTATCATCATCATCATTATCAGCAGCAGCATCATCAACATCATCATCAGCAGCAGCATCACATCGTCATCATCATCATCATCATCATCATCATCATCATCATCATCACCAGCATCATCAGCTTCATCAGCATCATCATCAGCATCATCATCGTCATCGTCATCATCATCTGCATCATCAGAACCTTCTTCATCCGCATCCTCATCATCAGCATCATCATCTTCTTTTCATTATCATCCTCATCACGACCATCATCATCACCATCACCAGCATCATCAGTATCATCATCATCCTCAAAATCATCATCCTCGTGATCCTCCTCCTCCTCATCATCATCATCGTCCTCATCATCATCACCACCATCAGCATCCCAGCATCATCATCGCCAGCAGCATCATCACCACCACCATCAGCATCCCATCATCATCAGCAGCAGCATCCCGTCGTCATTATCATCATAATCATCATCATCATCATCATCATCATCATCATAATCGCAATCATCATCCACATCATCATCCTCATATTCATCCTCATACTCATCCTCACAATCATGCTCAACCTCCTCATCATGATCAGCATCATCATCATAAGCAGCAGCAGTAACATGAGCATCATCATCATCACCAGCAGCAGCATCATCATCAGCCGCATCCTCATCCCCATCATCATCATCAGCAGCAACATCAGAATCATTATCAACAATATCCTCATCCTAATCCTCATCATCATCACCATCATCTTCAGCATCATCACCATCATCATCAGCAACAGCAGCAGGAGCATCATCATCAGCATCACCATCATCATCAGCAGTATCAGCATCAGCATCATTATAATCATCATCACCATCATCATCACCAACAGCATCTCCATCTCTATCCTCCTCCTCATCCTCATCCTCATCCTCGTCATCAACATCACCATCCTGCCTCCCCTGCCCGCCCCGCCGGAACCCGCTCCTGCGGGTCGGCCTGGGACCCCTGCGCCCCCTGTATCTCCCCGAGGATCTGCTCGAGCCCGGAGACCTCGGCCGCGAGAGGGGGGGCTCGAAGAGAAGATGTCCAGAAGTCCCACCAGCCCTCTGCGCCGAGTGGTTCAACGAGTGAATTTCAGCTCTCCGCCACAGCCCCTCCTCCCCCCTGCTTGGGGGGAGGGGTTTACCCCTCCCCCATCCCTCCTCCGCTGAGTCGGCAGACCGCCCAAGATGGCCCAAGACAGCTCGAAGCAGGGTGGCCCCCAAGATGGCTCAAGATAGCTCCAGGTCGCTCAAGATAGCTTCCGACAAGCCTCCAAGACGCCCGAAGACAGCCCCAAGCGGGTTCCAAGTGCCCTGCGAGCCTCCCAGGACACATCATAGGAGGCCAAAATCCTTCAAGAACCTTTAGGAAATCAGGGTTTTGGGCTTCTCGCTTTTTCGCTTCCGATGAGCCTCTTGGGCCTCAAGATAGCCCCAAGATGACCCTAGGCCCAAGAATGCCCGAAGACGGCCGCAAGAGCACCCAAGAGGCGCCCAAGAGCGGCCCTAGAGGCCCCGAAGAGGCCATCTTGAAGCCTCAGAAAGGGGGAGGGGAAATTTCGCACTCCACCATTCCATGCACGATCCCCCCCAAGATGCCCCAAGAGAGCCCGAAGGGGCACGCGCCTAGCATTACCAGGGAGGCGCCCAGCATCAGCAGGGAGGCCCTCAAGAGGCCCTAAGAGGCCCCCACGAGAGACCAAGGAGGCTCCACGAAGCCCCTCCGAGGCATCAAAGACGCTCCAAGAGGCCCCAAAAGGACCACGAAGACCTCCTCCTCCTCCTCCTCCTCCTCCTCCTCCTCCTCCTCCTCCTCCTCCTCCTCCTCCTCCTCCTCTTCCTCCTCCTCCACGACCCTCCTTTTCCTCCTCCATCCCGGGGGGAGAGCGGTATTCTGACCCCGGACCACCACCCCATCTCCCCGGGACTCGCCGCCAGGACCCCGCGGGGGGGGCGTATTCTGACCGGGGAGCCACCACAACCCCTTCCACCATTGCCCCCCCCCGTCTCCCCCGGCAGGGAAGGGAGAAAGGGAAGGGAATCGACTCGACTACGACGTTCCTGTTCCTTGCTCCTCAATCTCTTTGGGGCTGAAGAAGACGACGAAGGCGACGAAGGCGACGACGACGACGACCACGACGACGACGACGACGACGACGGAGGCGGCGGCGGCGGCGGTAGCGGCGGCGGCGGCGCCGGCGGCGGCGGCGGCGGCGGCGGCGGCGGATGACGAACAACCGAAGGGACGGAAGGGACGGAAGGGAGGGCGGAGAAGGCAAGGAGGCTTCTCCTCGACAAGAAGCCAGACCGCAATCTCGTAGATCCAATCTGCCGGAGTCGGGAAAATGCAACTCTGCCCCCAGCAAGCCAAACCGACAAAAACGCCGATCGGCAAGATGAGCCGGATCTCCGGGTAGGGGGCCACACGCGAACCCTGCCCCTACCCCCCACGATCTGTGAGGGGGAGGGTGGGGCTCACTTCGCTCGGGAGCTCCCGAACGAAGTGAGCCCCACCCTCCCCCTCACAGATCGTGGTGGATAGGGGCAGGGTTCGCATGTGGCCCCCTAATCGAAAAGGCACCCCTCGCTCCCAGCATGATCTGCTACCGAATGCGGCGTAGCCGACGGGGGCACCTTGGGCCAGGGCAGGGGATCCCGGGATCGAATAAGTTGGATCGGCGATCGACAGTCCTCCTCCTCCTCCTCCTCCTCCTCCTCCTCCTCCTCCTCCTCCTCCTCCTCCTCCTCCTCGTTGTCCCCTAGTTGCAGATTCGACCTGCTCGGGGTCGAATCGGATGGCTGTCGAGTCGTAGCTCGAGCTCCTGTCGGCCGTGCGGGGCGGTCCGGGCCCCCCCCCGGGGCGCTCTCGGCGAGGCGCGGCCCCTGTGGGGTTGGGTCGGGTACGTCCCCGTGCAGGCGGAGCTGCGGCGGAAAATACAAGAAGCCCGCATAGGAAGGGTGCAATCCTTTCCAAATTACCACGCGCTCGCGCTCCCGAGGCCACAATCCTTTGCAACTCACGTCGCATTCGCGCCCCGGTAAAATTGAACATGGAGGAGCGAACGTTCTCCTCTTATCGTCGCTTCTTGGTCTCGTTACCTCACACAATCAACCCGTATAGGAAGGGTGCGCGATGAGGATGCAAGGGCCTTGGACGCCCATTCCGAAGCTTTCCAAGCGAGGCGCGGCCAACGAAAGTGGCAAAGGATGGACCGAGGAGGCAAGGATGTAAGGGTACCTTTGGGAAGGTTGCCCATCCTTACTGTGCGGGTTGACTGCAACAAATACCCCAAAAAAGCTCAAACATGGTTCAAAAAACAAAAAAAAAAAAAAAAAAAAAAAAATCGCCCCCAGACTATTTGTTGGATTTGTTTCGAATACTCCTCCTGTAGAGGGACGTGCCCGACTTAACTGTAGGGCATCCCGAGGCTGGAAAACAGCCAAGACGCGACGAAGACGCCCGAGGGCCTCGAAACCCGCCCCTGGCGCGCGTCCCCACTCCAGTGTTAGGTCGGGCATGTCCTCCTACAGGGGGATTTTGGATCACAAATAAAAACTACCCAAAACAAATCATGAAAAATGGGCAACACATGATCGAAAGATCGTGCCCAGACGATGTTTTGCCTATTTTCGAATATCCCTCCTGTAGAGGGACAGGCCCGACTTAACTTGAAGTCGGGCCTGTCTCCGAACAGGCCGATGTCCGATGAAAAATTAAAGTAATCAAAATATGTTCAACCAATTTTGGAAAGAATACTCAACAAATAGTCCCCCGACTATTTCTTTACTATTTTTGACGATCCACCCCGTAGAGGAACCAAGCCCGACTTAAACTTTACTCCAGCGGCCCCATGCAGGTGGAGCCTTGTCGGCCTCTCTGAGCCTCTGGTGCTGCACCGCGGACATCTCCTCGGCGGCGGCCGGACGCGCTGCTCCCCGGGGGGGAGGGCGGAGGGGGGGAGAGTGCACGGCACCTGCCGCGCGCAGGAGCGGCCCTGGGCACGAGTGGCCTCTGGCGCGTTCGGCTCCCCCTCGCACGCAGGATCGAGGACGACGACGACGAGGACGAGGACGAGGACGAGGACGAGGACGAGAACGGCATTATCATCGCCATCGTCCTCGCCATCGACTGCCGAACAAAGGATCAAGGAAAAACCGTCGTTCACGAAGCCTGGGCCGGCTCTCTGGAAGTTCCTTGCGCGACAGCCCTGGGCCAGGTGGTGGTGTTCACGCTGGGGGGGGGGGGGCGACCGCGCTCAAAAAAAACTGGGCCAGCTTTCCGGGAGGAGGTGCCTTCAGCAGATGCCCGACTGTACGGCATCCCCGCGCTGGCGCTCATGGGCCGAGCGGGCTCCTCTCCCTCCTCCCTCCTCGCGCCCTGCTCCTCCTCGCCCCCGCGCCTCCGTCCGCTCCTTGGTGCACCCCACCGCTTGCCACGACCGGCGTCTGCCTCTCTTGGACCACATGGCGCCCGCGCCCTCAGAAGTTCGGCTCTCGGGGGGCGCACGGATTGCGGGTGGGGGGTCGGGGGCCAAGCCCAAGCGCGCAAGCCGCTGCTACATCAGCATTACAAAAGCTTCGTCATGAATGGGAGTGTCATCATCTTGCGTTGGCAGGGCAAGACCCCACCCAGTGGGATGTCTAAAACCGTGTGTTTTTGTTGTTGTTTACGTCGGTATGGTTTTAACGATCCCGTCTTACAATTTAATATTATATAACTGGAAGACATCCCGGATTTAGAAATCCTGGATCTTTGAACCGACCGCTCCTGACCCAGCCCGCTAGGATTCTAGAGGGGAAAAGGGGGGCAGCCAGTCGCGGTCGGAACGGGGGTCAGCCTTCGCCCGCCCGCTCGCGCGGAAGTAATGGACGAAACCTGCATCATCTTGACGCTCCCATACAACATGACGAACTTCTGTAACGGCGTCGTACCCACATACAGACTGGGCACTTCACCTCGGACACGTTCTCAGTGATACAAAATTGCAAGGTAAACATTGTTACCCTTCCAATTGAAGGTAGTCACCACGATCCAACCACTTATGCACCAGATACAATAGCAACCGCCAAAAAGAAAGCCACCAGGGCAGGATGCCCGCATCACGCTCAGCGATCACTGTGGCCAATGGTCGCTCTTAGGTGTGGCCGACCGGGGGGTCAAGGCCCGGCCCGCGGGAGGGGTCCTGGCGAGTCGCCGGGGGCTCAGTGGTCGTGCCAGGGGTGGGTTGCACACAGAGACGCAGGTGCTGAAAAAGACGGCGCCCGCGTCACGGCCTCGTTTTCTGCGAAACAACTCCCAGTCAAAAATCAAGACCCTCACTCCTGTCCGCGCCTGCAAGGGTCACGGCATCGCACGTCCGCATCTTCCTCATCCACGGAGCCCGGCCACGACCACCCGAGCAACCCATGGCACCCGAGGGTCGGCGGGGGGAAAGCAGCGATTGCCCCATCAAGGAAAGAACCGACGACCGGAATGCATCACTCATGTCAAAGAATTACCGCCTCCGAGTGTGCCCGACTCCACGATTCCCATAAGAGACCAAGGATGGAAAAGGTAAAACTGCCCGCCAATCGTGCCCCCGACGTCCACACTAACCTGGCAGATGTACCCATCGGTCGGAAGAAGTAGGCGTTGGAAATAGATTGGGTTTCCGCCCGTCTCCTGAAGAGGAAGGAAGAGGGAAAACCACTCGACTCTTGAAGTAGGAAGGCGCTGAAAGTAGATTGAAATCTGGGAATCCAAAAATACCTACTTTCAACGACCGATGGGTAAAGATGAAATCCGCTGGCCCCCTTGGGGGCCACCAGGCTGTCAGGCTCAGGGTGCTGCACCCTGCGGCAGTTCCAATGCCACAGTGACAGGGGTTCTAATTCGAGACTCCTGGCTCCAAGGCTGGGAGGTTGAAGAACGCGCGGCCCCCCCAGCCAGAAAGATGCGCGTTACCACCTCGGAACCGCATCAGCGAGGTTTCCAGGGGGCCCTGGGACGCGTAAATAACATGAGGGGGAGGGGGAGGGGGAGGGGGAGGGGGAGGGAGGAGGAGGAGGAGGAGGAGGAGGAGGAGGAGGAGGAGCAGGAGGAGGAGGAGGAGGAGGAGGGGAGGGGAAGGGAGAGGGGGAGGGGGACACATTCGCGCCCCTGACGCTACAATCCGTTTTGCATAAAGTACAGCATGCTCGCGCTCACGACACCAAAAATCTGTCCAAATTACCACGCGCTCGCGCTCCCGAGGCCACAATCCTTTGCAACTCACGTCGCATTCGCGCCCCCGAGGGGCAACAGCCCCTCGGTAAAATTGAACATGGAGGAGCGAACGTTCTCCACAAATCGTCGCTTCTTGGTCTCGTTACCTCATACAATCAACCCGTATAGCAAGGATGCGCGATTAGGATGCAAGGGCCTTGGAGGCCCATTTCGAAGCTTTGCGAGCGGGGCGCGGCCAACGAAAGTGCCCCAGGCTGGACCGAGAAGGCAAGGATGCAAGGGTACCCTTGGGAACGCTGCCCATCCTTACTATGCGGGTTGACTGTAAAACCTCGTCGCCTCATACCCGTCGGTCGGAACAAGCAGGCAGAAACATGAAGCAGAAGGCGTTGGAATTAGACTGGACTTCCGCCCGCCCCCTGAGGAGGGACGAGGGAGAACCGCTCGACTCTTGAAGTAGGAAGGCGGCTACAGCAGTTTGGGATCTGGGGGTCCAGCAATGCCTACTGTCAACGACCGGCCTGTAACCTCAGGCAAACCCCGTGAGCGCTCCTTGGTGGAGCAGCGGATTCTGGTGAATCGGCGCACGGTTGCCTCGCTCCCCTTGGCACGCTCCGAGCGGAGCAGGCGGCTTCTTTTGCACGCGCTCGTGCTCCGAAGGAGCAGGGCGTTGTCTCACACGCCGATGCTCCGAAGAAGCTGCAGACCGTCCAGTCTGGTCTGCCTGTCCGTCTGTCTGTCGTTGTGTGTGTGTCTGTCTGTCTGTCTGTCTGTCGTTGTGTGTATGTCTGTCTGTCCCTGTCTTTGTCTCTGTCTCCGACTCTGTCTCTGTCTGTCTGTCTGTTTGTCATGTCGGTCTGTCTGTTAGGGGGTGCTCACAGCCCGAAGGGCAATCGAGCAGCCCCCGGAGCGGTGCAGTGCCGCAATGTTCCCCAGTCGTCTTGGCGGCATCGTCCTGTCTGTAAGGATTCCGCCAGGCGCTGGTGCTGCGAGGGCTTGCTGGCGATGCGGCTCTGCAATTTCCCGACCCTCCCTCCCTATTGATTGCGTTTGGCTCGCTGGGGTCTCCCAGAGCGACATTCGCCCAGCTGCACGAAAGCTGGCTGCCCACTGCGCGTGGGGGAGCGCAATAGCAGGAAGTAGCCACGCTGAATATGACAATTGCAGCCAATGCGCGCCCCCGACGCCGTAACCCTCAGTAAATTACACCGCAGTCGCGCTCAGGCGGCCACAAACCTTTGCACAGTACGACATGAGCGAGCCCTCAGGGTGCGAATGTTGACGATTTCGCGCCCCAGACTTGGAAGTTGCGACGCGCTTGCGCCCCCCGAGGCCACAGCCCCTCATACCTCAGAGGCAAGTCGCGCCCCCGAAACAGCAGCCCACTGAAAGTGCGTGCTGCTCTCCCGCCCCCGGAGGCCACACCTCCTCGCGCTCCTGGGCCAGACGCCCGCAGTAGATCACCACGCGCTCACGCTCGCCGAGGCTAAAGGGGCCCTGGGACACACAAATAAATACACACAAAGAAAATGATTCACCATATCTTCCTATATTTTCAGGGTTTTCGTCTTCCCCCCCACCTCCCATATTTTCCCATATTTTCCTGGGACTCGACGATTAATGTTGTGTCTGTGTGTTTTTTCCCCTCCTGAACCCTGAGAGCTGCGACGGAGCCGTGCCCCCGAGGCCACCACCCCGCAGGACTGCAAGAAGTCCTCCAGCCCCCACCTGGCCGTCGCTCGGACGTCCGTTCCCTGTGTTTTTGTCGGTTTCGTGCGTGGTTTTTCCCCAAATGATCAAGGATGCTCCTCCATGGCCCTCGCCGAAGGAAAAATACACACGTCCGAGCGATGCCAAGATATGACTGCAAGAAGTCCTCCACCCCCCAAGTGCGTGCAAGACTCATATCCAAATCCAGTGCCTCTTGGACTTTTTTGGAAGCGGCGCCACAAAGCCGAAGCGCACTGGATATGGATAAAAATTCAGCCTCCAGGGGGCAACTTTATCCACATCCAGTTCGCCTCGGGTTTCTTAGGAAGGGAGCCCGAAACTCCATACTGCAGTGGATATAGACAGAAGTATTGCCCGCACCAAGGGCCAATCCTTCTTGTCACTTGCGCCAAGCTCGCCCTCCCGAGGCCACGACGCCGCTCCACGGAGGCTGCCCAGGAGCACCCCCCCCACCCCTCCCCGGAGCCGAACATCGTCAGCGCTCCGATGGGGCCATGCGTTCGGCGGGCGCTCTCTTGGACGCCCCCGCCGTTCCCTGAAAGCTGCTGCTCTGGACCCGAGGCCGCGCATCTCCTGAAAGGTCCAAGAATGCACAGAACACTGGGACAATCCCAGCCGCGCAGGTTTGCCCCACAGGGCCCCAGGCACCCCCCCCGCCAGTCCATGAGGGCCTCCGAGCACACACAGCATGAGGAAAGCGCGCGGAGAAGGCAACAAAGCGTCCAACAAAAGCTTCAAAATCCCAATATGTTCTGTCGGGCCGGGCGAAAGGGGGGGATAGCAAAGGGCGGGTTTGAGAATCAGCTCACGTAGCTGATTTTCCCGGCGCCGAAGGCGGCTATGTATCGAGGAATGGGCCCCTCGGTGGGGCCGAAACCAGCTGCACGCGGCAGATTTCGTACCCCCCCCCTTTCCCAATCCCCCCCTTTCGCCAGGCCCGATGCTGCTAACCTGTCGCCACCCTCGCATGATGTTAGCATTCTTTCAAACACCCAAAACCTTTAAGAATCAGCCTGGCGAAGGACCCAACCACATGCAGTTGTGAGCACCGCGGTTGCGAATACCATCCTCGGTGGAGCTCCTTCTGGGGCCACGAATTGTGCGAGGGGCCTGGTGGTGGGGAACCGCATGCGGGCACCCCCACTGGAGCCTTCGGTGGAACTCCTTATGGGCCCCCCCCCTTTCGCCAGGCCCGATTCGGCTAACCTGTCGCCACCCTCGCATGATGTCCCAACCTTGCCCCAAGACAGCGCCCAGGCGCCCCGATGCAGCTACAGGCCCGATTCTGCTAACCTGTCGCCACCCTCGCAGGACGTCCCAACACATTGCCCCAAGACGGCACCCGGGCGTCCCGATGTGGCCACGAGGTCGCCCACGATGACAGACGGGGGGGGGGCGCGGCCAGCGGCGGAGGGCGAAACCTTTTACGAGTAGGTCGGGCCTGTCCCCCTGCAGGATGATTTTAGAAGGAAAAAATGCCCCTAAATACCCTTAAATACTCCAAAATGATACTCAAGCCAAAAAACGTCCCCATACTATTTCTCACTATGTTTGAACACATTCCTCCTGTAGAAGGACAGGCCCGACTTAACCTTCCGAATATCCACATGCCTTCTCTTTCTCTCTCTCTCTCTGGCTCTACTCTGGTGTAGCAGGGCAGAGACGTCGTGCCATCGGGAGCCCTGCACGTGGATGGTGCAGGGGCTCCCCGACGATGTGAGCTGCGTCACCTCGCGGGCCTCCGAAGCAGAGCCTCCGAGGCCCACGTCGGCACGCGGCGGCCTCCGAAAACCCCGAACCCTCCGCGGGCCTTCCGGGAGGCTCCCGCCAGCGAGGCCGCCCCCCCTGTTTTCGGCTGCACGCAAGAGCGACCCTGGGTAAGAGTGACCTTTGGTGCGGCTTTGGGGGGGCCGCGGGGGGACCAAACTCAGGCGCGCAAGACGCTGCTATTGCATCGCAATCAGTGATTCGGGAGACCCTATTGTGCCCACACCAGAGGTCACTCCGGCGGAAGGTCACTCTTACGTGTAGTCGATGTTTTGAGCAGGGACCGACCGTCCCGGCATTCCTATAGTCATACCACGAGAGAAGTTCTTAGAACCCAAAAATGTTCTAAGAACAGAAACAATGCTCTTAGAACAGAACCCCGATGTGTGAAAACAAGGCAGCCCCAGCCAGACATGTTCTGAGCACATCTCGTGGGAACCACAGAAGGTTCTTAGCACATTCTTTGGTAGGGCTATTAGGCGAGCCGGGACGCTTCGCCACCGCTTGACTGTTTCTTCCGCCGCCTCCCGCAGGCCTTCCGCCGCCTGCCCGCCGAGGAAGAGATATACCAACCTCCGCTCCCTGGAGGGCGAGGCCCCTCCTGGAGCGCCTCATTGACGAACCAACAACACACACCCATACCCATAGAGGGGTCGGAGAGGGCTATGGGTGCGTGTTGTCGGATGGGGGTCCCCGCTCGAACGGGAGCGTTCCCCAGGGTCCGACAACCCGCCCCCATACCCATAGCCAGTCCTCCTCCCAACGACCCCCCTGTGGGTATGGGTGTGGGTTGCTCGCTCGTCACTCATGTCAGCGCATGGACAAGTTCTCGATTCCAGCGATGCCGGAGGGAGGAGCGCCGGGGGGGGCCCGGCCGCCAGGGGGGGGAGCCCAGAACTGGCCGGCGCCAGCACGCTCCCCGCAACGGCTGCCCCAGCATCCCGAAGATACAGTAGGGGCGTTGACCTAAGGAACCCTAAATAAGGAACGAGGCCCCTTTTTCCCATACGTAAGTTCAACCTCGATTTCCTATGGAAATCCTCAGGAAAACCCGAGGCAAACCTTGAAACAATCAAGGAACACCGAGCCCCTCCCCAACGAAAAGGGTTCCTTCTTCAAGACCCCTACTGTAGAAGAGATGGGCCGAAGCTTCCACCAGCGCCCGTGCGGACAAAACCTCAGGCTCTGCTTCTTGGCTGCTGCCAGCGCCCGTTCCAGAAAGGACGCCCCCCCCCCTCTCTGGCGCTCGGAGTTTCGGGGAGCCGCTCGGGCAGCGCGACGCGTGTGCTGCCCTCAGAGAAGGCACCGCAGGCACCCGAGGCACTGCAAAACCCCCCTCACGCTTGGTGGGAGGGTCTGGCAGGTGAGGGACGGAGTGGGTGCAGTTGGTTTGACCAGGCTCACTCAAATACACCGACCCTTCGGCAGATGTGAGACGCTTTTCCGTTTTCGTCGTCGTCGGCGTCGTCGTCGTAGTCGTCGTCGTTGTCGTCGTCGTCGTCAGTCGCCCAAGGAAAGTTGAAGAATGAGGAACAGGAACGTCGTAGTGAAGACGCTTCCCTTCTCTTGCCTCCCTTCCCTGCCGGAGGTAACGGGCGGGGGTGGGGGCGGGGTGGAAGGGAGGGGGGGTCCCGGGTCAGAAAAGCCGTCCCGCGGGGTCCTGGCGGCGAGTCCCAGGGGGAGGGGGGGTTGGTCCCGGGTCAGGAAAACCGCCCCCCCCCCCCAAGAAGCCCGGCGGGTCCCAGTGGGGGTCCTCCGGGGAGGTCAAGCCTTCAGGGTCGGCGGCACCAGCCGTAGGGACTTCGCAAAAGATTCCATGGTGGTCCCAGACACGCAGCTGGGTACTAGATTCGAGTGCCTGCTCAGTGGGGCTTCCTGGAAACTCTGATGACACTACGTATTACACAACACCGATAATTACCCCTGCCGTCTGTCGTGCGGCAACCGTCCCCTTCCATCGAGAGGGTATGGCACAAGCAAAAGCGAAACAACGCTCAGAAACGATGCTAAACCTCGTTGCTAATCTGAGCTTGCTGGTACTAGCTTCCAGTCCATCTGTCCCTTCCGAAACGCTCCTCGCGCATGGTCCTCAGCTGCTGCAGCGCCTCTTGCGGGAGACGATGAAAAAGAAGATATATGGATGCTCGATCTGACAGCGTTAAGGTTGACAATGAGAACGGCTGTGCTGATAATGGCGGCAACGTGAGCAACAACATGTTTATCTACATCCTGCTGCATCCGGCACCAGAGCACACAAATACACACATACTGACACACACACATATACATACACTTTCTCTCTCTCTCTCTCTCTCTCTCTCAGACACGCACACACACACACACCGATCATCACACCAGAAACAGCACTGTGGAGACCTGCTCGGTCACTGCTGGGGGGCTTGGGATTGCAAACAAAGACTGCCTGCCCAACGGCACCTCCAAAAAACGGCGTGCCGAGCAGGCACATGCTATCTTCATGCGGTGCATTTCCTGCGCGGCAGGCTGCAGACATCGCACCACCAGTTTCATAGAACTATGAACGCAGCCCCCCAGGAAGCGCTGATCGCCAGCGCTCTCGAGGATCGAGTCTTGTCAGTGGAACCGCTGATGCACAATTCGGAGCAGATCCAGCGGGAGCAACACAGACCAGAGGACCAATGGAACGCGTCGTATCAAATCCTTCTTCTCCTCGTCCCCCGCAACCCCCCATCCTCCTCCTCCTCCTTCTCCTCCTCCTCCTACTACTCCTCCTCCTGCTCCTCGTCCTCGTAACCATCATCATCATCATCATCATCATCATCATCATCATCATCATCATCATCATCGTCATCGTCATCATCATCATCATCAGCATCATCATCATCGTCATCGTCATCGTCATCGTCACCATCATCGTCATCATCATCAACATCAACATCATCAGCATCAGCATCAACATCAACATCAACATCACCACCATCATCACCGTCATCATCATCATCAGCATCATCATCACTATCAGCATCACCACCAACACCATCATCATCACCACCACCGCCACCACCACCACCACCATCGTCCTCGTAAGCATCATCATCATCATCATCACCATCATCATCGTCATCGTCATCGCCATAATCTTCGTCATCATCATCATCAACATCATCAGCATCAGCATCAGCATCAACATCAACATCACCATCCTCATCATCAGCATCATCATAAACATCAGCATCGCCATCGACATGATCATCCTTATCATCTTTATAACCAAAACCATCACCATCATCAGCAGCAGCCGCATCATCATCATGATCAGAATCACCATCTTTATGATCATCATGATCATCATTATGATTTTCATCTCAGTCATGGTCATCATTATCAGCAGCAGCCTCATCAGCATCATCATCACCACCCCTATCATCGTTAGCATCATCATCAGCATCATCATCACATCGTCATAATCATCATCGTCGTCATCAGCATCAGAACCATCAACATAATCAGCATCATCATAATCCAAATCATCATCATCATCATCATCATCATCATCATCATCATCATCATCATCATCTCCAACATCCGCATCACCATCATCATCATCATCATCATCATCATCATCATCATCATCGTCATCATCAGCAGCATCGTCATCATTATCACCAACATCAGCATCATCATATTCCTCCTCTTCCTCCTCCTCTCCTCCTCCTCACGCTCACCATCACAAGCATCATAATCACCAGAATCGTCAGCATCAGCATCATGATCATCATCATCAGCAGCATCATCATCAGCATCATCATCATCATCATCATCATCATCATCATTCTCAGCATCATCATCAGCATCATCAGCATCATCAGCATCATCATCAGATCATCATCGTCACCGTCATCATCATCATCATAAACATCAGCATCGGCGTCAGCATCATGCTCATCGTCATCATCAGAATCAGCAGAATCATCATCAGCAACAGCATCATCATCAGCATCAGCATCAGCATCATCATCACCATCATCACCATCGTCATCATCATCATCATCATCATCATCGTCATCATCATCATCAACATCATCATCACCCCTTGACTCTCCTCCGCTTCCTCCTCCTCCTCCTCGTTCTTCTCCTCTTTCTCCTCCTCCTCCACCTCCTCCTCCTCCTCCTCTTCCTGCTCCTCGCCTGCTTGTGCAGGTCTGTCAGGAAGCCGATCTGCTGCTGCTGCTGGGCGACGGTCCTCCTGAGGTCCTCCAGCTCCTCGCCTGGTGCCGCGGCGCCTGACAGGAGCCGATCGGCAGCCCTTCGCGGAGGAAGAGTCGATTTTTTCGCCCCAGCCAAAGAAGACGGCCGGCGAGGGGTTCGAGGATCGAGCTGGGGGGATTTTGCTAATTTTTCCAGCTTGAACAGTTTGGGCTGATCTGGGGCACCGTCGTGGCCAAACACAGCTGAACCCACACCGAAATTCTGGTCGCAACGCTCCCCAGGACAAGTCCGGTGGCAATAGTGGGCCAGGACGGACTAAGAGACTGGGAGGGGCCTGGATGGACTGAGATAGGCAGGGTTTGCTCGGAGGGGCTATAGTGGGACAGGATCTTCTGGGATGGGCCAGGATGGGAATGAGGAGGGACAAGGAAAGATGAGGGAGTGAGGGATTCTCAAATTTGCTTTCTCTCTCTCTCTCTCTGGTGCCTACTGAAGGGGGCAATGGTCGCCAGGGCTGGGTCCGCTACAAAATCCTGGTCACAGAAAGCGCTCCGGGGCAGATGCGCGAATCGACTTGCTTGGGTGGGGGAGGAGGATGAGAATGAGGAAGACGAACAGAGTAAACCCATGATGCATCAAAAATCCTGCTGTACGCCCTACTGCCAGAAAGTCGAGAACTTTTGCTTAGCGTGTCGCCGCGGCAGCCCCCGCAATCCTATGCCTTGCAAGCGGGTAGCGTGTCGCTCCGCTCCTAGGGGCGAAAGGCTCAGAAAACTCGGAACGTTGAAGTCTGGGGACAGGGAAGTGGATAGCATGTCGCGCCGAAGCGTGGTGGGCCAGAACCAACGGAGCAACAGACGATCCAAAAGTTCCCAGCGGCATGCCCTCCTGCAACAAGTCCCCTCCCGAAAATCCCTGCATGCATTTCTTGGTACTCTCTGGGGAGCACCCATTTGAACGGCGAGGGCCCCGTAGGCTAGCCTCCCAGCGAGAATCCAGTTTCGAAGGTCAAGACACTCTCCAACGATGATGCCGTTTTCAAGCTGAATTGTCCTCCATCCGTGAAGCTGCTGCACCGTGCGACACTTTGAGTCATAATCTTCCCTCAGCAGCAAGAGCTCAGAAGGGTGCTCATTATGTGAATAACGCGCCGTCTTACGTGGCGACGGCCCTGGTTTCGTGCGCTCACGTGTCGTGCACGTGTGTGCGGGACTGTGTGCGCACGCATGTGCTTGCCAGAATTGTCGTATGACACTAGACCAATGGTTCTCTTATGCTCGTTTCGGCTCGCCCCCTACCGGGGAGACCAAACCTTTTCTCGAGCACGCTCGTCATCAGCACGTCTGCGATTCACGATAACGCGTCCCAGTCCTCCTTAGCAGCCGTTGGCGCAACGTTGCGGAAAAAAAAAACTGTGTCTGCGTGCGAGTGAACGTGCGTATGTTGATAATTGCATGTGTGCGTGTGCGCGGGTGCGCGTGAAAGTGTGCGTGCGTGCGTGTGTGGGTGCGCGTTCGCGTGAGCGTCGGTGTGTGTGTGTGTGTGCGTGTGTGCGTGTGTGTGTGCGTGTGTAGGTGTGTGAGTTCATGCTCGTGCACACGTGGGCGCGCATGAATGCGTGCATGCGCGTGCGTGCGTGTCCGCGCGCATGCGATCGTGCATGTGTTTTCGTGGGTCGTGTGTGCGTGCGTGTGTGCGTGTGTGTGTGTGTGCGTGTGTGCGTGTGTGTGCGTGTGTGCGTGTGTGCGTGCGTGCGCGTGCGCACGCGTGCGCGCATGCATGTGTGCGTGTGTGTGCGTGTGTGTATGTGCGCGCGCATGCGATCGTGCATGTGTGCGTGTGTGTGCGTGTGTGCGTGCGTGCGTGTGTGTATGTGCGTGCGTGCGTGTGTGCGTGCGTGCGTTTTCTGTGTCTGCTGTTGCGCATGTTTCCACATAGGGCGGATACTTGCTGGGCTCGTCGCGCCTGCGATCCTGTTCATCGCCGTCGGAAACACACGGGCACGCCGGAGGAAGAAACATGCGCGCGCGTGTGTCCGTGTGCGTGTGTGCGTGCGCGTTTTCGTTTGCGTGCGAGCGCGCGCGCGTGTGATGTGTGCGTGCCTGCGCGCGCACAAGTGGCGGCACGGTCGACTCTCGGCGCCGTTTTAGCGGTGCCCCGCCTGCTTCTCCTCCCCCCAATTCCACCTCCTCCACCTCCTCCTCATGGACATATGATAGGAAAAATGCTTTTCTGGGGTAAACAAAAATTGAGCCACATAGTTGCGGCCAACCACTAACATGCACCGCTGGAACTCCTAAACGACATTCTCTACAGGGTCAACAGCAGATCCTGGTCACCCAGTCGGAACGCTAAAATCTGACTCCCACTCCTCCGGTGACAGGCCGAATGTGGAAACGGGCGAAATACAAACAGCAGAAGCGACTGGGTTGAAGGTGGGTGCAAAGCAAGTGGCCAGCGCAGCAAAGCCAGGACTGCACCCCAGCAGTCCATGCCATATAATGAAGCAATTAGAGAAATTACTGGTGCAAGCAGCTAGCGACTATGATTTGGGCGTAAACGTGCGGGGACCTCCTAACACGCGATATATTACTTCTAAGTCTCGCATAGCACCGAGTCATGCAGTGTTTGATATGTTATGCAGCATGTGCTCTTTTTGATCGCAAAGGCGAGCATCTGGATCTCAACTAATCCCGACCTCAAGTCCCAGGCAGAGCGGCTTGTGATGACAACTCGGATACGAATTGAACCAAAACTCCGTGGCGGGAGCCAACTCGTGTCTTCCGTCGCCTACGCATGGACATGTTGTCCCTGGTCCGACATCTGGTTAAAGCATGTGTAAGATTCTCCTGTATTAACACACTAATTACTTTAATGTCTCCTAGCCTTACCTTCTCTCGTAACCAAAACTGGCAGACTTCGCAGTGTCTGACTTTCCCTATCCGCGCCCCCTCGCATCGGCAATTGCTGCACTCGCATCGCTCTTTAACGACATGCCGCCATCAACTACAAAGCCCTCGAGAAACACTAGCAGCCCTAAAGCTACTGAGACACCTTGAACCAATCCGCGACACTCCGCCTTACCAGAAGCTAATACCACCACGCTCTGAATAAAACTCCACGACTCGACCGCGCGTGACCCCGCATCACTGCACCTCCGCTAGTCAATTCCTGCGCTTGTTTTGCAACCTGCATGATCGGCAACTGTCCACGCAGTCCTCCCGAGGGCGTTCTGGATGCAAACACTGGTACCCACGCCGGTCGTGGCCCTTGAGGCACTTGTCCAATATTGCAACACTTGCGCCCAGCCCCCCCGTTGCGGCTGACATAGAACGCGCAAGCTCCTTCACTGCAAACTGAATATCCGAGCTGTCCTGCGCTAGAAAATGCGCCCTGGTCTCTGCAGCTCGGCACTCCAAGACTCCGTGACTCGGCGGGGGGCCCTCATCTTCTCTCCGCAAGAATGATTCACACCTGGTATCTCGCGTCGCGTCGCACTGCTCCAGGTCCGACTCTAAGACTAATATCTCGGCGCGCCTCTGATCCGCAACATGTCCATTCCACGACCCGGTTAAGAACCCTGACTGCATGCAAATGTGTTGGCCGTGGTCTGAGTCTGCCCCGGATTAAAACTGCGAGCTGCCAGTTAATTCCTCCTTCGAACCAATCCAAATCAAAATCCTTCCCCAATGGAGAGAATCGCCCCCCTGCACCGCTCGCAAGATTCGTCTTGACCTGCGCATGAAAAGACGCTAAGACGCCCCCCCGCTGCCAGAACCTAAAAAACGCGCATTATCCACGCCGCGGCCCCCGCAATTGCCGCCGGCGCCCCGGGCGCCGCACTGTGATTTCTGCGACCCTCCATGCGCGCTCGGACTGCGATCCCAGGGCAACTGGGCGCGCGCTTACCATCTGCAAACACCAGCTCGAATCCCTTCTCATGCCCCCGTCGGCCACGCCCCACCCACCTCGGCCAGCTCTGGGGGTTCCAATGGAGGAGTGGGCTGCAAAAGGAATTAATTCTCTTCTCTGGAATTGGGTCACCGGCTGGGATCGGCACTCGCGATTGGCCTCGTCACTCTTGTTGATGTCATTCCACCTCGCGCATATCTGAGATATGCCAATAACAGCAAAGCATTCCTCCTCCTGCACTTTCTCGTCGATCTCGCGATTCCAAAATTGCCTCATCTCGCACTCCCGACCTTCGAATGCAAGTTCTGGATCGAGCTCGCACCCTGATGCGTCGCCCCACGCCCGCGCACTGCGATCTTCACGGTGAACCACGCATGTCCCCCTGGGAAATTGGCAGCACCTCAGCAACGCTTCCGCAAACCTCGCATGTCCGCGGAACTCTCAACAAGCCCCGGTGTCGGCCCGCCCCACAAATCCACCGACGCAAATGTCCCGGGCATCCCGGCCAGCGAATCTAAAGGCGATATTGCGCGCATTTCCTCTGCGCCCCGCCCCCCGCTCTTCCCCCTCAATCTCACTGACCCCCCTCTCCTCGAGCATCTGGCCAGCGCCCGAGCCCCAGCTGGCTCCGCGAAGGCGCGAACCCCATGCTGGCCCCGAACTCCCTGGAAGCAGTAGGCGAGAGGCGCCTCGTCTGTTCTGGCTCAAGTTAACACAAGCCCATTGCCACCCCCATTTTGTTCGCACCTGACCTCCGGAACCCCCATTGCCTCGCTCGGCTTCACTCCACCTAACTTCCGAGCCGCAGACTCTGAAGGAGCACCCCATCCGGTCGCCAGCAGCCCCCTAGCCAATCAGACCTTCGAGCATAGCACGGAAAGGATGCACCTCTGATCTTTTCGTTCGGCCCCACTCCAGTGAACTCGATGCGTCGACGCTGACCTCGACGCCCTGCGCCGCGGGCCCTTCCACGATAGCGGCCGTTAATCCTGAACCGCGTCGGTTCTGCATGGCGCCTCCTTCCTGCGACAACCAGTTACAAGTCGCAGATGCACAGATCGCCAGCCGCATGCCTGCACACCTTCGCGCAATCACATTATCTGCATTGGCGTCGCGGTCCAGCGCGAGCCCCCTGCAGGATGCTCAAAGAGAAAGTAAAACC